AAACATTAGAATTATTGTGGATTTTCAACCAAATATGATCAAATATATCATGGGCATTCTAACTGTTTACGTTTTATCCCAGGGTTCCTTTTGCACCTCAATTCTGTTAGTATTAAAACTAAATCCACCTTTAAAACACCATAAAATCCCCACATCAATAACATTCATCCCCTTTGTGAGCGCTGTGTGGAGCTGTACTGTAATCAAGATGCTTTATTGATCTGTTCCCCACCTTAAACATCTCCTTTCCCATCTTCTTTGCCACTTCTCTATGCTGCGGACTGGATGAAGCCGACGGGGACGGAGTAGAAGCGCTGGCACCCCCCCCTGAATGGCCCTCGCTGGCTGGAGTCACGGTGGTGACAGGGGTGAGGGTCTGGAACATGGCAGCAGGCAGAGTGCCCACAGGTTGGGCTGGGAGGTAGGCTGTGGGGGAGAAGGCTCCAGCTGCCATGGCGGCCCACTGCTGCTGGTTTGCAGGGAAGATGTTGGCCTGGCCCCAGATCAGAGGCTGTCCACCCGGTAGGACCTGAGCTACCGGGCCCAGAGGAGACTGGACCCCGAAGGCTAGCGGCGTCTGGGCAGCGAACGCCTGCTGGGACCAGTGGCCTGGAGGAACTGCTCCCATCGTCACATAACCTAGAAGCAGAGATTGGTCAAATTAGAAAGAATGCTTTAATTTTTCCCACATTAAAAGAAACTAAGAGAAGGAAATGATTGGAGGACCCACATATGGTGCTTCTCCTCTACACACAAACCCACAAAGATAATAAGACATGCATCACCAGAGAGTGCTGCCCTACTTCTGCCTGCAGCTAATGCGGAGCCTCTTAATGGTCATGGTGAACTATAATAATTACCTCCAGAATGAGGCAGAGTCATTATGAAAAGGCAGAGCACAACGCAGCCTCATTAAAATCACTCAAACTCATCAGCAAAAGGTACTTCTTATTACACACTGGCTAGTTCACAGCTTCTGCTCTCTGGTGGTTAACTACCGGAGAGGAGGTTGACATTTACTCTGGGCCGCTCTGACATGCACAGAGTGATGACCAAAGGCCAGGAGAGGGGTAAATAAAGAGGCTCAGGAAGGCTCTGAGGTATAAGCCCTTTCAGAGGAATTTATAGCCCTTCAACTTCTACTGAGTTTTATTTTTAAGTCCTTTTTTAAAAGCTGAAGCTCAATCAGAGTCGATAGTATGGAAGAGGATTAGGGCCACTGAAAAAATAAAAGTTAACTGATTTTTAAAATTTTATTTCAGTTTAATATGGTAAAAAAAAGTCAAAATTCTGACTTTAATCTCAGAATTCTGACTTTTTTCTCAGAATTGTTGGTTAATCTAGATGGGAATCATGAAGGCAGAGATGTGGAGCACTCAGCTTCACTAACAAAGATCTGAGTTGTTTGGGAGGAACAGGAACACATTGGTGGAAAATGATAGAATTAGCGAAATTTTTCCGTCCCTGAGGATCCCCGGTGATGCTATTTCATTAATGGAAGAGAAGAAGGTGATTAAAACAAGAGAGCTAGTCTGTAAAGCAGGCCTGAATTCTTAGCCTGGTGAGACCATCCTGATCTCGCGAGCTTTCAAGGTTTCACTC